TATATATATATATATATATATACACACACACACACACACACACACACACACACACACACACATACACATATATATACACATATACATATATATATACACACACACATACATACATACATATATATACACATATACATACATACATATATATACAGTATATATAGTTTTAGTTATAGCTTTGCATTGGGGAGCTGGTTGTTGTCAGCTTCTTTGATTTCCTTTTTGTAAGCTTTAAACCATCATTTTAAAATACCAGCTGAGGCTTCTTTTAAAATCTGTTGCGACCCCGAACACTTAAAAAAAACTATTTTGCAATGTTTAACTCAGGCTTCCCCACCCTGATGTTCTTCAGATGTGTTGGGCTACAATTCCCATTCTTCTTAATTACCATGGCAGTTTGCCAAACCAGTTTGGCAACAAGGAAGGCTACTCTTATGGAGGGCATCAGGGTAGATCAGATGTTCTGTGCAAGAACAATGAAAGAGTGACCTTCCAATTGTAGTTGATGATACCCATCAATCAGCATTCTCTTAGACTGAGGGGTGTGGGTTGTCACAGTTCAGTTCTACCTGGAAGATCAGAAATCCCCCATCCCTGGTTCTGGGTAAGAGTCATGTTTCTGGTGTTAGGTGCCTTGAGTTCTGGCATGAAACCTGTCCATTTGTCCCGTCACAGTATTGCATAACTAAAGTCTTGGATGGGAATTATGTATGAGGATACAGTGGATAAGAAGCAGCTATTTCCCCCTTCCCAAAATACTAGAAGCAGAGGTCACCCAATTAAATCTTGTAGAATCAGGACAGACAAAAGGGAATAATTCCACTTTGGAATTCGCTACCCTGAAATGTGGTGGAAATAAGGTTGTATTATGGCCAATCTTGGAGTGTCCTTCATTGCACAGACTTGGGTCTAAGATGTATCAAAGGGGAACTTCTTTCTTTGGTCAGGAAGAAGAAAAGTCACCAGGAGATATGAATAGGGCAAATATTTAGACTCTCAGTTAGACTCCATTTATTTAAATGTATGAACAACGAACAATACAGTGGAATATTTATTTATTTATTTATTTAAATTATCCTGGAACTGGGTAATAGAAAATCTGAATTGGCCATTTGTTTTCTTTTTCCCTAGACCTCTACTTCTCACTGTGTGCCAAAATGAAATCTACTGCCATGGAGATCCTCCTTTGTCTATTGGCTGGTAAATGTTCTTGCCTTTCTTCTCCATCTTGTGGTCTCCTCTAAGAGAGGTGTGGAGTTTTCTTGGGAATCTGATCCTTCTTATAAAAGCTGTGTTCACAGAGATAGCTCCACTCACCTTGGGACAGGCTAATGTCCAGCTTTTATCCCTAATTCTCTTTCTCTCCATGGTTGATGGTCTCACCACTCTGGCTGCCCAAAATGCCAAGGGCCCACTTAAGCAACCAGATTTCTTCCTTAAGTTATAAGCAGTGTAACCAGAACCCTTGCATCGCCCTTTCAGACCCTTATCTGAGCCAGAGCTTTTTCCCAGACATGAGCCAACTACCATTGTGGATTTGTAGAAACTGGAATTGAAAAGCAAAAATTGACCATCAAAGTCTTATGTCAGTTTCTGAAAATCTGGGAAGCTTGACTCATGTGGCTTAGCCTGTCATGAGAACATGGACATAATCACTCATGAGATTGATTCTTTGAGACATGGTATGAGAAAGTTGAAGTCCTGAGAAAATTGGGCAGTGTGTTTGAACGAGGGTCGTGTACCATACTTAAACCACTGATTTGGTTTTGACTGAGTGTTTTATGTGAATCCAGCCAATGAGTGCTATGATGTTCCCAATGAACAGTGCAGTGCAGAAGAGATGTCAAGAAAGGGATTGTCCCTTCTCTAATATATTTGCACGATGCATTTCCTCCTCAATAGCCTCTTTAGAATTGGGAGGCAGAAGCTGAGGGCTGTAGTTTTGCCATCGCTTGAGAATAACTTTTTTTCAACTCATGTTTGCAGGGTTCCCTGTTCTGAAGGCAAATGACCCTACAGGTGAGTAACTTCGTAGGCTGATGTCTCATGGCTTGCTCTAAACATGGCAGAAGATCTCTTTGAAATTCCATCGAAGACTAGGCTCATCACGAAAAATGCTTTAACTAGACCAGGGGTCTCCCCAACTCTTCAGCTCATCAACCCCTTCGTGAAGTTTCAGATTGTTCATCAACCCCCAAACATTTATTATATGAAAATAATTTAATAAATGCTACTTTAACTAGTAGTACTACAAATAACAAGAACAACCACCAGGGAGATTTTACGATGGCTCCCTTATTAATTTTATCCCTCTTGTTTTGTGTGTGTTTATAGTTTTTTATATGTAGTTGTTTTTTATGTATTTATTTTTTTAATTGTTGTACGCTGCCCAGAGTCACCTTGTGTGAGATGGGCGGCTATATAAATATGACAAATAAATAAAAAAATAAAAACATCAGCCCCTTGGATAGTCCCATCAACCCTTGGGGGTCAGTACTGACCACTTTGGAGAACCCTGAAGTAGACCAGAGATATCCACCCTCAGCCTGACTACTTTCTAGATGTTTGTTAAAGTTGGTAGGCTTCAAGAGATGTTTTTCAAGCCAGATGAAATTCCTCAGGGCATAATTGAGACCAGCCAGATGGGATTAAGGAGTGCTGATCTCCAACAGGTTATTCCTGAGGGTTCTTTGAATGACATGTTTGGAAAAGTGGGACATAAGAGTGGCAGGATACAAAGCAGGGCTGGGACAGAGAGATTTACAGTCCAAATAAGGTATGGGTAAGCAAGTCCTCCAGATGTTTCCAACTTGGCTAGGCTGGGTAGTGTAGTTTGTTGTTACAGCTCAGCAACATTTGGGGAACTGCTAGTTGCCCACTCAAGAATAAGGCATGGTTCATACCCTTGCGAATCAATGTTTTCTGCTGCATTTTAAACAAGAATTGCTGAATGTATTTGGAAAAAACCTTTGGTTTCTTGCAAAGATGTAGCCAGGAATCCCTTGTGTTTGCCTAATTGGAATTGCCGTTCCCAAGCATAGAATGTTAACTATCTTTCATTTCCTTTATCCAGATAAAAACAGCCCCTTTTATTATGGTAAGTATGTATCATTCTCAGCCATGTTCTAATTGGGTGGTGGTGAAGGAAGGAGGGTGTTTGATTATACAAAGGAGGAAAAAATATGTGGAAAGATTGTACTCCATAATAGACTCTTTTCCACATCCATATACTCATGTGGCTGATTTTGTATTATCTCTTTCAATGTTATCCTCTCCTTTGCATGAAATGGTCCCTTAACACAAACTGTCTCTTTGGTAGCCAACCAGAATTCTTCAGCCAAGGAGAAAAGCTGTCTTCACCCTTTTTTTAGTGAAGTGGGTAGAACTGAAATGAGCAAGACAGACTTTGCCGATAACCTAAACAAGACTCAGTGGTCTCCTTTCTCTTCTAGATTGGGAGTCGCTCCGGGTTGGTGGTTTGGTCTTTGCAGGCATTCTGTGTTTTCTGGGAATTGCTATCCTCCTGAGTAAGTGAAAACATCAATAAAGGGGAGAAAACCAGGGAGACACTGTCTGCTTAGAGTCTTTTTGACCTAGCTCTTAATAAGGAAGACATTTCAGGGGGTGGGAGTTGAGAAGACGTTAGAAGCAGATGGGCTGTTATCAGAGAGCAGGAGCATTCAAGGTCGTACCAATGGGCGAATGTGAGAATGTCTGGAAGGCAAAGCGGGGAACATGGGAACCAAAGGGGGTAAAGTAACTTTCTGGCGCGCGCGGGCTCAGTCTTAGCAATGCTTTGGACCTGTACACTATTTCTCGATAAATGAACTTTTCTTTGAACCCTTATCAAGGGTTGCAAGGAGAGTTACTGGCATTGGGAGTTAGAAGTGGCAGATCGTTACAGTAGGAAGGTACATTAGGGTGGTCATGACCGGCTGGGTGAAATACATAGCTGTTTCCTTCAAAAGAGGAATGATTGGGAGCTAAGAACTATTCGGTGGTAGGATTGCTACCGGTTATCCTCCCTTTGCCTAATCGAAAGACCCCCCTAATGAAATCGTTGGCAGCGAAACTAACGTGTGATACCACCCCCACAAGAGCTGGGCTTTGAAGAGAGCTTTGTGGTCACTTTCCAATTAACCCCCTTCCCTTAGAGCAGAGATGGGGAATCCGTGACACCCAGCTGGTTTGAACTATAACTCCCAGGATCCCTCTTCAGGGGCCATACCTGGCTAGGGTTGCTGGAAGTTCAGCCGTTTCTTCCTGGGCTGATTCCTTGCATCTGGAGTCCCATTTTCCACCACCCCATGACGTAGATCACTTGGTTTTGGCTTAGCCATTGTGGATTGTAATTTATGATTTATGGCTTAACATGAGATAGGAACCTGGTCTGTATCTTCCATATGCCAAGGTTAAGAGTTGCAGCAGAACCTCACGGTCTTCTGTGGAAGGAGACCCCAGGTCCATCTAGCCCGTGTTGCAACATTCTGGTTCTCCAGCCATCCTGGGAGGAGGCAGGCACTGGAGCTGAATTTCCTGCCCACTAAGCTGCCTTATGCCGAATCGGCTGATCTGGATGGTGTTGCCCCACCCTTTTCTTAATTGTTGTCATTCCCCCCACCAGGTGGAAAGTGCAAATGCAAGCCCAAAAGAGGCAGCAGTAGCAGGTAGGAGATCTTTTCTAAAAGCCACCAAGGGGCACGTCAGGACGGATTGGAAGGGATGGCCTCTGGTGAAGGCTCCTTGGGTTATGCACTCCTCGTTTGGGATGAGAGCAAGCCTGAATCTTGTTTCCTAAAATGAGGAAGTGGGGTGGAGATTCTGATGTTGGCTCCAGCATCCGTAACCTGATGTCTCTTCCCATCTAGCATGCAGATCAATGTGGCACCAAGACATGTGCTTGTAGGTAAGAGAACCTGTTTTAGGTGCTGCAGGGGATTCGGTGTGAAGGGAGATCGCCTATCTCACGTGTCAACCTTTTAGGTGGGGCAGGGGGGAAAGGACGCCGTTCGCCCTGCCTAAAATGTGTCTTCTTTGGTTTTCTCACCCACGTCTAGGAGAAGCCAGCGAGTGCTGAACCTAGACGGAGCTCCTTGCAATGATATCACCAGCCCTGGTCCTCCTTGGTGAAACAGCTCTCCCCCTGATCAATAAGCCGTGAACTTGTTGCCTTGAGCCCGCAAATGGCTGACCTGTTCTTGCATTCGTTTCATGTAATAAAATCTTGCTGATTTGTGGAAATCGGTAGATTCCCCAGTTGTGCCAGAAAGGTTTTGGAGTAAAGTCTCTCTGGTCCTTCCACGGGGGGTGGGGGGGACCCAGCATATAAACTACTTTACACTGCAGTGGAATTGCCTGGCCACCAGAATGAGTGGAGATCTGTTTTGTAATAAATTGTTTGCTTAACTCTGATTTACTAAATAAACAAGGTTGGGGTTGTACTATGCAGAAAACCAGAAACGAGCACCTGTGCTAATTTGGTCCACCGCCTCATACTACTGAGAACATGGCTTACTCGGTTTCTGGATTACCCTCCTGGGCAAACCCTGCCAATGGTGGCTTATTTGATAAATCATGGTTAAAGAAGCTGTGGTTTAATGTAATATGTCAAATCAGCTATGCTACATTTTTAAGCTCAGCGCCCAACTCAGTTTTTCAGTGCCAAGAACCCGTATGAAAACAGTTGTGGGTTGACTCCAATTGTTTCAAGGCTAGGGGATCTATTTCTTCCCTTTAGTTCTGGGTATCACCCGGGCATTTGGAAAGCAGAGACCAGCTCAAACGCTCATGAGCCCACCAACAATATATTGTCTTTTATTTACAATGTATTGTACGTGGGATTCCGTATCACAAAGGGGAGACTGAAGAGGAAATCAGCCTGTCCTTCTGAAGAGACCTTGCATGGTATATTTTCTGCCTGAGCTGTGTGCTTCCAAGTCCAGTGAGAAGAAGATATACATTAAGGTCTGTTCCTCACTGTTCAGTATTTCCCACTCCCGGAAGAAGGTTGGATGACTCTGAATAACACAGTGGTTATTTACAGCTTAAAAATAAATGCCGGACTGTATTCCTTGCAAGTCCACCTGTGTCTCAACTAAGAGTTCTGTCCAGAATGCTTCCCATCTACCTGTTCTATCAATGAGTTCACACACCTCTTATATTACTTTGCTCTCTCCCCCCACCAAGCCTCCCTCCCAGCTGATCAAGATTTCCAGGGATCCTTTGTGTGCTTAACGCTAAGCTTGTGCTTCAGTCGCCTCTCTCTGACATAGTCTGATGCCTAACATTATGTACATTTATACCAGTGTTGTCCAAACTTGGCCACTTTAAGATGAGTGGACTTCAACTCCCAGAATTCCCCAGCCAGCATGGCGGGCGG